CGCGGCGCGCCGCGGCAGGAGAACGGCCGCGGGCCACGTGTCAGGGCGGAAAAATGACCGTACCCCGAGGCGGAGGTCGAATATCGAGGTAAATTTTTGTGGCCAGAGCTGGTCATAACCTGAAAAGTTCGTTAGTAGAGGCGTTTGTATCCCGAGGTACCACTGTAATGGACACAATTTTAGTTCAGGCTTCAACTCTAAATAACTGAGAAAGTCTATTATTTCTGAAAGCATCTGGGCAAATGGCATACATCAACATCAATTATGTCATTGGTGTAAATTACACCAATGACATAATTAGGCAAATGATGTAAATTGGCACATATTGACGCAAATGACTTAAATGGGCAGAACTATGTAAATTCAGAAAAATGACATCAATTACTTCATTTAATTCATTTGGACTTAACAGACATTTGGATTTAACGGACATCATATCCTCCCAAATAATTGGTTAAATTGAAGTTTACTGTACAGCCCAAAGCAACTGTGTTGCTTTCTAAAAAAAAAAATGCTTCAGGGGTGCTGGCAATTCTAGGAGTTGTACTCCTGGCACATTTGGAAAGTGCCAAATGAGAGAAAAAGGTCATACGCACATACACACAAACCCATCTTGTAATTATAAAACATACAGTTTTTCCATCTGTGGACACCCAGCTAGGTTATGGCAACCATATTAGGTAACAAAAGTACCATAGGGGCCAAGACATAGGTGCTTGTAGTAATTACAAGGGCCAAATCTTTTCAAGATGGCTAATTCACAAATTTCAGTGATTTCACTCTGAGAGATAATGAGATCCCACCCCATTTTTAATTTTTTTTTAAAATATCTAATGTTGAAATTCTCCGAATGTCATTAAGAACCATTCCAGTTGCCATTTCATCCATGGACACCATGCCACCAGCCAGGATGCCCTCAAAGGGGTCAAAAAAGTCAAGATGGCAGTTGCAACTGCATAATCAAAGCCCTATTCCTTTTTTGTGTGCATCACATGAACACTGCTTGTAAAAAATGGGTGGGGCTTCAATTCATGGTTGCAACCACCATCTTTAACCCCTCCAACAGGCAACAGTCCTCTGCTGCCAGCCGTTGAGGTCGAGCATACCATAAAACCACAGAAGATCTGACTAGTGCTGTCTGAGAAAAAGCTCTACTTGAAACTCCAAGACAAATTACCTTTTTTTTGTAAAATTTCCCTTAGATAAAGGTAAATAAGTAAATTTTGCGTCTGCAGGATATGGTCAAAGAAGTTGAGATTGTGGCCCCAACACTGCAGTTACAGCTCTGCCTGTTTCTTATGTGTTTCACACCGTTGTGATTGTCATCTTGATCTTTTTGACCATGCCCTGAAGACACCTGGTATAAAACCAAGATAGGCCTTATATTGCAGGTATTAATATAGCCAAACACAATTTCTGTGCAAAGAAGAAAGGAAAATCCTGGTGGGGATGATTAAGAGAATGCCACATATTCACTTAAATTAAATTCAGACTTGTAATCCAGCCACACGCTATAACTTGAAGAATATAATCGGGATGGTAGAGTTTTACAATTTCAAAAAGGATCCATAGTTGGGTTCAAGTCACCTCCAACGGTGAGAGGGTCCCCGGATTTACGAAGCAATTGCCAATCCATATTCAAAAGCATTTCCCATCTGAAAATAGATTTTTTGGGCTGATCAGAACAAACTTTTCCCTTTTTCCTTGTTACGCTCCATGCCTAAAAATGATCTGCAAGGATCGTTCTTCAGATCCACCATCAGGAGACTCTTGCCAAGGTCTTTCACATTCCTGAAAAGAAGGTTCATAGAGTAGGACATTCTCTAGGAGCAAAAGGTTTGGGGCAATGCCCATGGGCAGAAGTCATGCTCCTACAAACAAGTCAACATCGACTGCTTCGGGTTGTTTCTCTTCCACACAGATCTCTCCGTATCCCGTCATCATATCCCTGGAGAACCACTGTAGCCTTGATCAGCAGGAGACTATGGCACGCCACTTGCACTCCATTTTGAAAGACATGTTGCTGGTGGCACCAGTTGATTCCCAAGCAAACAACTTACCTTCCCCAGAGGTGAGCTTTGGGTGGCTTGGGGTGACCTTGAAGTTGCAAGGATGGCCATCTTTTCCCTTGTTACTTTTTTTTTACTTTTTCCATGCCTAAAAATGATCTGCAAGGATCGTTCTTCAGATCCACCATCAGAAGACTCTTGCCAAGGTCTTTCACATTCCTGAAAAGAAGGTTCATAGAGTAGGCCATCTCAGTCAAAACCACTAAAAGCATTGAATCACTGAGGTGGCCTCCGCATGTGCTGGACTCAAACTTTCATCTCCTTCATCTTGCATGCTTGCTTCTCTGGTGAATGAGGATGGGAGTCAGAGTCTGGTAATTCTGGAAGACCCTGAGCCAGAGAAAATCATCTCAAAGTTCTCTGAGTTACTTCCTAAAGTACAACAAAAGACTGCAAAAGGAATGGTAGATTTTAAAAATACCACTGTTTGAGGGGTCCCCACCATTTCATCCTAGCATTTCCTTCCTTGTAGTCAAATTAAGCCAAGTAGGAACTCTATCTGGAAATCAAGGGAAGATACAAAAACATCTATTAATTTGACTTTAAGACAAGGTTAGATATTTGCAGATTGTCCATATTTTTTGAGCTACATTCCTATTACATGGAGATTGGCAGCTTGAGCATGGAAGTGGCTTCTCAATGTCCTTCTTATTGCTAAAAGACCAGTCCTTCAGTGTTGGAAAGATAAATTCATGATCCCAATTCTTAATAAATGGAAGCCCTGAAGTTACTTGCAACTTATGGAGGATTTACTTTCGAACATAGACTGCATATGGACAATTACAGGAAATATTTTACTGAACCTGTTGTGTAAAACTTGATTGGTAGGTAGGTAGGTAGGTAGGTAGATGGATGGATGGATGGATGGATGGATGGATGGATGGATGGATAGATAGATAGATAGATAGATAGATAGATAGATAGATAGATAGATAGATAGATAGATAGATAGATAGATA